AAGGCTGGGCTGTCCGAACGCCGTCAGAGACCCGCTGAGTCCCCACACCGTCTGAAACTCGTGATTTTGGAGCCCCAAAATCCATCAAGACCCGGGAGGGACAATCCTTGGATTTCGGAAACACTGAGAACCTGGTCCTTCAGGTGACTGCGACTGGGACAGCACACTCGATTCAAATGATCATACCGCGACAATCTGCTTCACATCCTAAAAGTAGATTCTCCAAGTAGCTTGCCTTCCAACGTCAAGCACGTTGCTAGACAATCAACTCGACTGGCTATCCACTCAGGATCATTTTGCAGGTATTTGCCTCTCACCAGCTTGCCGGTTTCAACCAAACTAACGCAAGCGGCCCTTTGGTAGATCCGCATTCAAATGGGAAATAGCCATTTCTTTCAGATCCGTCTTTCCAGAGCCCAAACAGCCAGGATCAAGCACTGGATGTTGAAAGCAAGGTGGGCAAAAAACACATGAAACAGGAAGCAACCCCTAGAAAGGCGGGATTTAAGAAAGGACCGGTGGTGAAAACACAACAGAGCAGGCACATTACGCCAAAAGCCACCGTGCTCCACGCGACGCGCTCAAGGGCGCCTGCGTGTCGTAGGCAGCCCAGAAGCTGTCGCGTCCTGACTTGGCCTGCAGGTTCCGAGCGCCGGGGCCTTTGCTTTGCCTTTTGCTTAAGTCCAAAAAATCAAAATACCAGTAGTGATAGATTCTCTTTAAAACCAACAGGGGAAAATAAAACATATTCTTAGCCAAATGGAAGTTTGGAGTTGCCCTGGTTGGAGCTGATGACAAAAGGAAGACCGATATCCATGAGGGCGCCTACCTTTAGGCACACTAATGATGCAACTCTCAGAGTAAGTGTGCGCATTCACGAAAAAAGAAACACCACTGACTCACCTGGAGTCTCCAATCTTTAAAAATGGGGTCATTACCCAAAACCCATTTTGAAAGGGTCGTGGAGACTCCAGGAAGGTTGCTCTGTTGCGTGGGGTTCTCCAAGCCGTTTTCAGACATACCTGGCACATCGCGCGACCCGAACTGCACGGAAATCGGGTGGGACGCCACAGGAAGGTGCAAAGGGCGGAATGGGACACTGGAGTCTTAGCCTGGCACAGTAACTGAGATGCCCTGTGGATTTCTACGGGAACAAATCCAGCGGCATCCGACTTTTTCTGCGTTGGTTGAGTTGAAAGGTGAACCCTTGCCCAAAAACAAGGAAGAAAGGAAAACCACTGGGGCAACTGCGAGTACCTATTGATTCATGGCGAAGCACATGCACACATCAAAGACTTCATGCCTGTCCTGACATGGTTTATCCAGAGACTGCCGAAAGGGCTTTCTTTGTTTGCTTCCCTGCTCGTGCACTCGTCACTCGCAGAGACGGAAGCAAAGCACCAAAGCAAAGTCCTCTGCCAAGGCAACAACATGTACATACAAATAGATATGTACTATATATTATATTGTACAATTTGTAAATGGATGCCCTCACACGGAGGAGCCATTGCTGTGCGACTAAGTGAACCCGGAGTGATTTACCCAAAGAAATCCTTTCGTTGGCGGGAGAGGGACATTCAAATTCTTGAACCTGGCTTTCAAACTACGCCTTCCAGCTTCCGATTCCGGTGCAGACCTATGCTTTAGAACTGGGTCTAAGCTGAAATTTTCCGGTTCTAACCCTATCTTCACCTCCCTTGGTATGGTCGCAAAAGATGAACTGGTTTTGCAACCCACTACGAAAGTGAACAGGAACAAACAAACAAAAACAAACGAAAAGCTTGCCAAGAACAGTGAAGCTGTGCTGGAAACCAAAGGCCCAGCTGAGCAAAGGGAAAGGTGATCACTTTTAAAACTAAACCACCAAAAGGTGAAAAGGTCGTTTTGATCACCCAATTGGGGGGGGAGTAACATTGTGGACACCCACAAACTCAAAAACAAAAAGGTGTTTGAAGGTCGAAACTGGAACCAAGGGAGAAAGTCACAGCTTTGAACACCCCCAGCGAACATTTTAGACACTCCCAGCTGCTCCTGCTCGGCAATGGACTGCTGAAAAGCTGGGAGGAACGGCCTGTGCGCAAAAGAGGATGCTATACAAACAAAAAAGATAGCTGGGTCCTCCAAGCTCTGCCCTCGAAAATAATTATAAACAGAAACACATACTCTTTGCACCCTGCGTAACATGCGGCAAATCTGCGTAGGAAGCATCGTACCGTTCATAGCGTACATCTCCGGCATCCATGTGTCAGGCACGTTCGTCTCCGGGTGTTCGCCTCTTGTTTCGCCGTCAGGGATCGGGAGCGGTCAGGGGTCTCCGATCAACCCAAGCCCCTGGAGCAGGAAATCGGTACTAAAATAGTCTGCCCAGAACCATGCAAAGAATTACCAAGGCGGCCGCTGGGATGGTGCTTGCTACCCTCCAAGTGCCCAGGTTTTGGTTGTGACTCTGGTGTTGAAAGGCTGTCAATCCCTTAGTTACCCACCTTAAAATGGATCCATGCACCGGGACTTGAGGTACCAATTCGCCCACCCTTACCATCAATCCACCGGCACGAAGCGGTTTCGAAGCAAACCACAAAAAGCTCCGGCGCGTCACGACCGCCCAGTTGGATCTGCCCGCCTTACGGCATCGCGAATCGCGATGGGCTGCCCCTGGCGATCTGGAGGGATATGTCGATCCGTTGGGTCGTGGATCCCAACGATACGCCCGAATCGGAATATTTTGTCGGTAGGATCCACCAACCATTTTCCATCGGATCGGGATATCCCCCGCTAGGATCCACCTAGATAGCCAAGTTGCTGCTTTTTTCAGTCACTGTTACTGGTTTTTGGGGTAAAGTGCATGGACAAAAACAAAGCAAAACAGCAACTGGCGATCCAGGCCCAACCATTTCCTTGGAAATTGAATCCACTGAGAGCCTCCAGGTCATTAGCTTAGCCTCACTTCGGGCAAGTCGAAACAAAGCCGCCATGCAGTATCAGCCAGGGCAAGCCTCCACTTCCAAAACACCGCTTACATTGGACACGTCATCTCCACAAATTCAGCGATTGCCTTCCTCTCTCACGTCTTTGCCGAGTCAAGGTTGAGTCAAGAACTCTTTTGCCCAAGGCCAATCCTGGGCTGCTCCAAAGATTGGCCAGTCCCCATGCTTCCAAGCCTTCAAAGCCTGAAACTCTGGCGAACCCAACGGGAACGCTTGCGGCGGTTCGTCCATGATCCACCTTCATCTATATTTATCCATACCTGTGCATATTTGTGTACCTGGATCTGTCTCTCCGCCTGTCCACGTTCCATCACTAGCCCCCCCCGTCCCACCTCTCGCTCGCTCGACTCGCTCGACTCACCTGCGACTCGGTCGGGCCTGCCGCGCCGGCACGGGCTTGGCGATGGGCGCCTCCAACACCCGGGCCAACTGCGCCAGGAGGTCCGCGCAGAGGCTCGTCACGAAACTCGGACCGTCGCTCCAATCGCGCGAGCAGTCGAAACACGAGCGTTCAACGCGCTCGATGGCGCTAAATGGGCCTCAAAATGGGCATGTCTTTTTCTTGAGGGCACCCCTTGTTATAAGGAAACTCGCCATTTTGGTCGGTGCCCTAAAAAATGACGCACTCAAATGACACCGCCCCAAAGATCGTCCTCTCACTTGCCGGGTGGCTAGAAGGGCAGTCGAAGCACATGCGCTGCGCGCACTCGCAAGCTGTCTTCAGGCTGGTACATGGCCAAAGGGGCCCTGCTTCTTATCCAGACTTCAAAGCTCTAACTTCTATGTGACCCATGTTTTTTTGTTTTTTGAGGAGACCGCCTCACAAGTGGGTTTTGGATAGTAATCCCCACCAAAGTTGGACGTTTATGAGGGGGCCGGTCCCTTTAAGAGGAAAAACATGCGCAACAAAGGCAACACATAACAGTTCAAAAGTTTGAAAGCTTGGTTTCGGACAAGTCAGAGGTGACGGGATCTAAGAACGCCAGCAAAGCTAGCAATATAGATAACCGGCTGATGCGAGCAACATAGTGGGGAAAGCAAGTTGGAAACGTGAGTGTGTCGGTGCCTGCAAGCAGCTGGAAAGTGTTCACCGCTTCATGTCTTATATCAAAAAACCTGGCGCCTTCTAGTTTGGCAACCCCAGAATATGGCTGTCCGATCGAGAGCAGTTCCTAAGGTCAGCTGTCGCGATGGAGGCTGCGATCGCCTTTGGCAATGGCAAGCTTTGAGCCAAGCTTGGCTCGTATGGCTCGCTGAAGTGGGAGTCGGGCAAAACAAAAGCTAGCTGAAAACCAATTCCTGGCCTGAGCCCCCGTGTCGGTTTTGCCCGGAACCAACAGGAACACCATCATTTGGAGGGAGTGAACCAAAAAAAGAGAGACGAGCCAACTATGTGCCAAGTCCAACAACAAAAAGTGAGACAATGCTGCCTTCCAACTCAGATCGAAATGCTCGAATACATGGGACAAAAGTGTCACACGTTGGGGTTCAAACCACCCTTAAAACAATGAGGGTTCATATTACCACCATTGGTTGCCTAAGGATTGTCATCATCGAATTTGGGTCATTCATTCTTTTAATGGGGGGTTGAACCCTCGGGAGTTCCGGCATGCTGCACGTCAGTTCATGCTGCCCGTCACCGACGGTGCAGTGGACCGGCCTCTTGCAACATGTAAGCTGAAAGGCCTGCAAGCCTGAAGCGACATATCGAATAGAAGTCAGCTGGTTCATATCATGCCTCAAGATAGGCTGGATCAAGGGCCTTCTCAGCCCAACATCAAGGGCCTGCTTCTCACGTTTCGCCCAAAACCTTCTGTGACCGTCAGGAACTGTCAATCACTGGACTCCTCCTTGACCAATTGTTCACAGCCACTGCAAATAGACAAGCTGTCGGCTAACTAAATTGCATGTATCATCAGGTGTTGTGATGCTTTCACGTTGACATCTCAAATGACCCCTTGGGTGACTGGCACAGCCATCAGCCAAAGAAAGGCACTGATCAAGGCGAGGCGGCACCATCTCTAGCCAGCTTCCATCGACGGAGCGGGAGCGGGAGTGTGTAAGAGTTGAGACAAACCTGCTGGAACGACCGCAACAAGAAGCATGCCTGTTGCTGTCTCTCTCCGTCTCTTTTTTCTCTCTCTCGCTATCTCCTGCTCTCTCTCTCTCTCTCTCTCTCTCTCGCTCCCTCGGGTGAGCGCTGAACAATTGTGCCAAATGTTTTCCGATGAAACCTGCACTCGGAACCTGTCTGGTGACATGCCTAAGACCACCGGCTTCAACATGAGGTTCCTCTCATGACCATCTTTGTCAGAAACCGAGTCAGTTCTCTTGGCCGAATGTAGCAGGCGGTTCCAACTGCGCAACTTCAAGGTTGGACACAGGTGACTCCTTCCGCAAGTCAAGCACTCTGTCAGCGCGTGCCTAAAGCTTGAGCTCTGCGGCTAGCCCGTGATGCATTGAGTTCTTCTCCGGTCGAGCCAATTCACTGAACGGGGAAAAGGGCCATAGTGGAGAATGTGCCAACACCCACCCAAATCTGAAATATGGACCGGCGAAGGGTTGGCTTGCAGACCCGATGCTGTCACGTGCCTAGAATCATGGCACGGATGCGTGGAGTCGTGACAGGCGGGAAGCTCAGAATCGGATTTGTTTTACAAGTACCTGGAGTCTCCATGACCCTTAAAAATGGGTCCATGACCAACCATTACTTTGGGTTATGACCAACCATTTTTAAAGGGTCAGAAGGAGACTCCAGGTAGGGCACCCTCAAAGTGGCTTTGTTATGTTGGGTTCCTTTGGTCTCCCAAAAAAAGGATCAAACACAAGAGGATGCCCTCAAAACACGACCCCGATCCCGGAATTGGGATGTTGAAATTGTCGCACTAGGCATCCCAAAGGCTGAAAAAGAGCTGCCTTTTGACCGTTGCCTGACTTGGCCGAAAGCGAATCGACCTTTTGACCCTTTCCCCGATTTGTATTTTGTCAAAGCTCCAAAAGGTTAGTCTTGTATTTCTCAACTCAGTTGAAATAGCTGCAATGAGTTTTCAAGACAGAAGGGAACACTTGCCAATGTCGTTTTTGGACTACCAAACATGTAGCTTGCCCGCAAAAAGTGCGGAGTTTCTCTTGGCAGACTAATGTCCATTGCCCCGCTCATAGACCTGCGGCTACTTGCTGATTGAATAAAAGCCACCCACACTCAGAATGCTCCTTTCTGTCGCCCTCCTGGTCCTGCCTAGGTGAAACCAAGCGAGGGGCTCGGAATTCATGCTGCTTGCCAACACGCGGGGAAAGCAGTTGCACTACTCAAAACAACCGGAACAAGCGAAAGGATGCGTAGCCCAGCCAGCTTCAGGCAACGCCATGTGTCCAGCTTGGGCGGCTATGAAACGGTACCCAAATTTTGATGCCGCTGAAGTATTCGAAAAGCGCCGCAAGCAGTGCACTGGCTACAAACAAAAAGCAGCACACACTTCAACCATACTCATTTACTTCTACATGAGTGTGTTGTTAGACGGTACCACGCGCTGCTTGGGATAAAGTATGGGAAACTCAGCACCCCAATGAAAGTCTAGTCTATATAGTGCTTTCTGGCTTTCTGCCTCCTCCAAAAACACAATCCGCCGAGCCCCCTAGCTTGTGCGCGACGTCTTGTCACGCCCTCGGCAAACGCCGAGCTGCAAAACCTAAAAAAAGGAATGGGCAGTCTGCGGGCAATCCCATTGACAGAGGCACGCGAGCGACAGCCAGTTGAACTCTCGGCAGACTTCCGTGGCAACGAAGTAGTGGATATCGCAACCAAGAGACGACGTCACCACCGAATATGTGTTTTGAGACTCATGTTGGTTCATTGCCAATGTGAGAACGGCGGGTTTGTGAAAACCTGTCTAAGATTTGGAAATTCACATTGTGTTCGAATTTGAGTTGTGCAACGGCCAACTTAATTGTAGGAACAGTAGTCATGCGGGAGTTTCCTACATACAGGTTAACTTGATATGGTCAAGACCAGTTCTGCTCTTTCTTGTGCTCTAGCATGCAAAGAAACGACAATCTACAAATACCTGGACCCCCAAAGGACCTTTTTTATGGGTCAAAGGCGAACAAAAAGGGTCCGGGAAGGTCCAGGTAGCTACAGCCCTGACATCATCTGACTCAAACAGCACATGTCTCTCCCGTCGCTCGCTGCTCTCGCCTGCTCGGGGCCTGCAGAACTCGCGCTGCGAGGCTAGTGGCTCAGAGCGTCGAAAAGCCGCGTGGCTTAAGACCTCCATGTGCCTTTCGCCCGTCTTCTGCCAAAAAAAATGCACATATGTTTGCTTCGTATCTAGATTCCCTGAACAAAAAATCACAAGAGCAAATGAAAGCAGAACAGCAACACACGAAAAGATTCACTAGGATCATGACTATTGGTTTCAATCTACAAGCCCATTCTAATGATGCCCTTGTAGCTCAAGCGTGGCCACAGACGGTGATCAGATCAAAACATGTGGCAACATTCATGTTGTTGATTCTGCAAGCGTAAAGGCGATCTACCTGAATGCTGAAAGCATCGCAGCGTGAGCATCCTTACCAGTTGGCTGTGGCTCAACCAACATGAATCCCAAAATGGCACCAAGGATGTGTTCTTAAAACCACAGACTAAAACCCAAGAACTTTAACTTTGAGCCACACCCATTTTGATTAAAGCTGCATCCTACTACTAGCTACAACCCCTTTGAGGGGTTGTCCCACGCGAAACCGACTCCGCTGCTCGTAAGCATCCTGGAAAACCGAAATAACTCAAAAACCAAGACAACAACAACAACTCATTGGCACATGTTGATAGTTGACAAAATCAAGACTCTAGTGATACACTTGATACAATTCTTACAGGACATATAATAATATACAGTTGAGTCTACATGCGATACATCGAGGCGTCACATCCGCGGCATTGGGGCTCACCTCTCGGCCTGGGGCACGCGATCCAGGCTTTCTTGCGTGCTGTCCAGGGTGTCTCTCTAGGGGACAACCCAAAACAGGGCTGTGGTTGAACTGGAATCCACTTCTGTTATACAAGGGCCGCCGAAAGACTAATGTTTTATTTAAAAAAAGAGGGGATTCCCCTGCAATAACCCCCTTGATCCTACAACCCTGCCCCAAAATGTCCTAGGAATCATGGGTCCAATCCGTTGGGCAGCTCAAAGCATGTTGGCTCACAATTATAAATGAAGTTTGTGCATTCATATGGGTGTGTGCTTATCAGGGGACCCCCAAACGGCTTTTTTCCTGATCGATTTCCATTAAACAACCACCCAAGAGGGGTACCCTCAAAACAAGGCACCCAGGAATCAACAGAACTGCTTTTGTTCTAGTGGATGGACAACTTCCTTCACCAGTTGGGATGGATGCAACCCCGTAAATAAATACGAATGCTGGGATAAACCACGTACTAGATGGTGGGAAGTAGTTTTTGTCCATCCGCAGTATTAAACCACATTAATGTCGGGTAGTGATTGGCAAACACGCCCCCACCTCAAACAAATTGGGAAAGGGCCTACTCAAGTCTCTGGGAAAGTACTCCTTAGTACCGGAGTAAAACAGGTTTAATATTCCGTTGAGCTTGCCCAGTTCTGTTCAGAATTGGTTGTATTGGATTGGTGTTCCTTGGAAAGGGTTTCGTAGCCGTAGACTTGGTTGGTACTTGGTTAGTACCCCTCGGTACTGGACCAGATATTCGTCCTTTCTTTATTTCCTCCCTGCAAACATTCACTTTTAATCAACTTTTCGGGGCTTCGCTGTACCACCCAATTACAGACATGTCTGGGCGGCTGCTTTGTACAGGGTGTCAGAAACAACTCGGTTGTTTGCGGCCGCAGTTGGTTCTGGTGGTCAGGATTGGCTTGGTATTGGTTTAGTCTTAACTTGGATCCTGATTTCCCCGTGCTTGGGCTCACGTATTCTCCCCTTTCCCCCCGACGGGCAGCCTGTTTTCTACTCGCTATCCAACGTTAAGGCAGGATCACAGAACAATGACACTTCCAGAGTGGATGGGCCAACACAGTTCAGACTTTGTGTCTACCACTATATAAACGATTTCATCAAATCATGACGCGCTAGAATTCTCAACACCTCAGTGCCGAAATAAACGCCTTGACCACTACATTTCATGTGCAAGAAAGCGCAAACCTAACTTGGTCTCATGCAGGCACACGTCCAGTGATCTCAAACAGAACACCCAACTTGCAACACCCTATTTCAGTGTCAGCACACCACGTGATGTTTACCCCCCCCCTTTTAAGGTGAAGCTATTATACCAGGAAGCAGTTCCCCAGGTGCACAATCAACAAACCGTTCCGGTGTGCTCCAGTTGCAAGTGGCATTTGGGAGGCATACTTGTTCTTGCTCTGCTCCCTTACCCGCTCCAAACAGCAAAAGACCTACGTACATGTAGTAGATGCATGTATGCACCTGTGTCTGAAATCAAAGGGTCGACACATTCAACTCCACATCAAACTGCAGCGACGGGAGTTTTCAAGAACATGGTCAGCTGACCTACACTAGGTCCTTCAGTAGAAGTTGGAATAAGGTACCCTTTTTCTGTAGTCTGCTTTTTAATAAAGAAACCCTCCCCACAAAAAGGGTAAACAAAGCACTACTGGGGGACCTAGTGCCAATGAACGCAAACGAACAAGAAGCCTCGCTGTAGCAGCCAAATGCAAAACCAAGGGCCGTGGCATCCCGCTGGTGCGGGCCGAGCCGACCTTTTCGATCAAATCAATCATGTCTCTTTTGTCAAGTGGGTTGGTTTTAAAGGGAAACCAACGGGTCCCCAAAAAAAAGACACACCACACAAAATGGTGTGTTCTCACAACGCTCAACCAGTCTGTTGCACAGGACGACGATAAAGCCACTTGCCCAACGTGTATACATGCGCAAGTGGCAAGCGATGCTCAGGGAACCTGACAACACACCCGCAGCAGGAAGAGCTCAAGAAAGAACTATAGACAACTATAGTGTGCAATCTTGGTGAGGTT